GACAATGATAAGTTTAAGTCAAATCAAACTTTTTAAAATCAATATTTTCAACAGAGCTTCTGACAAATAAAGTAGGATATGTTACATGTTCTTGCCAAACATACATATTCAAAAAAGTTTAAGTTCCAACAAGTGGAATGCTATTTTGTTAGATTATCACAAATTAGCACAAAATTTAATAAGGCCTTATTAAAAAAAAATCAATTAATGTATAAATTTTTCGAAGAAAAAAAAAGCAGATTCTTTTTATTCATTATTAATTAATTTATTTATAGTACCTGTGTATGGTATCACTTATGTCACTCAAGGCAATAAATAAAATTGTTCAAGTAGTCACAAAATAACAATATCAGAGGCGTAAAATCTGATAATGAAATTGATTAATTGAGCCACTTAGGAGTCATTCATAACACACCCCTTTAATACTACCGGTATGTACCCATAGTGGTTACTCTGAATCCCATTTACGAGTCAGCAAAGACATTTTAAAGTACCCTATATATCATTCAGCTTGTTCAATAAATTATATTATTATAAATCTGTCACCGTGACGCCATAAGTTACAGCGCGCAGTAATTTTGCGAAATGTGAATTGCAAATATGGAATGATTATGCGCGTAAGCATCCTTTGCCACCAGGGTTTGACCGGACCCCACACAAAGTAGTTCACTAAATCTGTTCTAAACGTTTTGGATTTTGGCATTGCCATGATGTATTCCTGGGAGGAAAACATGTATAATTATAAGGTTATTATGAGGATACCTCAAAGTATGTACTTAGACAGTACGTCGCCGCTTCGACCTCAGCTGTGCGACAGTTGATACTCTCGCTGTACTGCCTTCATGCATACTTTAAGGTATTCTTGTAATAACCTCATACTATTACTATTTATTTATTTATTTATTATTTAATTTATTTATTTATTATTATTACCCACCACCATTACCTCAAAAAAAACGATATATAACAAACTTACTTAGCAGTCGTTTGTATATTTGCGGATGATATGTTCCCTATTACATTGCTATGTAATTCTTGAAGTTTTTCAAGTTGTTTTAGGTGGTCATCAATTTCAGGCGTACAATCAGTAGTTGTGCTTCTCTCAACGGCAATAACATTGATAAAATATCCAACAAATAATCCCAACAGGAACAAGACAATGAATAATAAGATTTGGAAACAAACCCGTCGTGAACTGTAATACGTCGCAAAGAACCTATCCGTTTCTGAGTCACCATCAGTGACTTCGGTTATTGTCTCATTTTCATAATTATGATTTATAAATTTTTGATATTCTTTTGGATAGTTGTCGGTGGGTTCCATTTCGAACTGTTCTCCAGTGAAAGAGTTGCTCACATTGGTTGCCATTTTTAATACAACTTTTTCGCTTACACAGGTTCACATGGGAGCATAGGACAATGTTTAGCTTGGCAAGGTTAGGTACCCCGCGTAATGTAAGTCTTTCTTTACCGGTATATAAAAGAATTATCTGATAAAACAAAGTTGTTTAGTAGTCAGTATGCACACTAATCCACTGGCATATGATCAATGAACACAATACGTGTGGTACCTTTCAATGGCGACTGCTGGTGACAAAGCAAACAAGGGTGTCTATGACCGGGCAGCACATCACCTATGGGTCGGGGCAGAAACAACACACTTGGTTAGTCATCGGTGACACAAAGTGAAAATAAATGCAAAGGAATTTTTTTTTATTGTCAATCGCATATTGTATGAGTAATCGAAATCCACTCGCGTGTCTAACAATGATCAGTAGGAATTCAATAGGGGAATGTTATTCAAAATTTAATCCTGGCAAAACTGTGACAAGATCGCCGCCGTACATCGGTCAATTAATGTCGCTAAACGCGAGTCTCGCGAACTACTAATATTTCATAGCTTCGCCCTGCTGACATAGGTATCGACATATCCGTGAAAGAAAAAAAGGGTACAATAGATACGGCTGTTACATACACGACGAAACATTCGGTGTATGGCCAATGTTGTCATGGCCGGCGGTATGTACCCCCGCTCGATCGATTATCACTGCTCGTCGGATATCCGCAGTTAATCTATTATTTCCCGTCGCGCGATTGTCTTACGTATCAGTAATGATTAAAAGGTGAGAAAACTTACCCAGATGTGTGAATAACTCGGTGACTGACGTGACCAACCCTACTGAAGCCATAGACGCCCTCAATCAACAGGTGACGCTGAAAAGTTTATATTTAGAACTCCCTAAGCGATTGACAAAGTACTCGTATAACCGTTTGTAGAGACTAAAATAAATGAGAGCGCACATGTATTCGTATCTGTATAAAAGTCGACACACAAGCAGCGTCTGATATAGCTAATGCAACAACAGTTTATTGACGCAAGCAAATTCGTCGGAAGAAATTTTATTTATTTATTTATTTATTTATTTATTTATTTATTTATTTATTTATTTATTTATTTATAGAAAACCAGACGAAAAACCTGTTACTAATATTATTACTGCTATATTTCAAAATACTATTTCAGGTTTAGTACTTATACTCACAAGAATAATTAAGTTTAACAAATTTGTTGGGCAGTTGCTGCTCATTCTCGATTTGGCACAAATTACAATTTTTGGTATGTATTTTATGACGGTATCAATATTACTAGAGAAGTCGCATAGCAAACTAAAACTTCCCATAAACAATTGACAATATCACATGAAACTGCACCAGATAGAACGAGTTAGATGGTTAAACCATAATGCAATAGGTTGTTTTAGTTGATGTTTCAGTTAAATGTTCAATTCGTTTTTTAATTCAGCTGGCGAGACTGTATGAATGTATTTTCAATTATCATTATTATTACTTGATTCTTCGGTTTATTTATCAATTTTACTTCCTTCCACAAATCAATTGATTTATTTATCACACGGTTTGCATTATTTGTTTTATTTCTTAAAGATGAACACATTTTTTTTTTAATTCAATACTCCACACTGTAGACCAAATCGAATTATGATTTATCATAAACTAACAAATGTTGCGTGTGTAGGGCCAACGACAGTATTCGTTTGATAAAAAATTAAAACCACTAATACGCACATGTAGTGATTGTTGTTGTATGTACCATCAAAACCAATGCACATGCGTAATAGATTATTTAATTGCTCGGTCGAACGAATCTGCAACCGTTGTAAGCAGTCACTCTATGTATTGTCGTTGCCTGGGCAACTGTCAATGTCAGAGTTTTTTCCTACTCATTTCATCACGAAGCCCGCCCTCTAGTGTTAAAATGTGGATGTCGCACAGTGTATGCTACAATCACAACGAAGACATTATTATCTCACCTCAGCCTCATTTGTACACAAAACTTTCTACTCTAAATAATAGACGGTATTCATACTGTTATCAACAAATAATGTTATATTTGTATTTTTTCATTCCAAAAGTGTTTTCTTTTCACGCTTTCTTTTTCAACCGATGATTCTAGGTCATGTTCTTGCCGAATGTTTATTAATATATGTCAAGGATCTCCAATAACGTAGAATGGATGAAAACACGATACTACAACTTGAATAACCACCTTGGCCCAGTCAGTTTCTTTAGCTTTAAGACTAGCGGTGTGTATTTGTACCCGCAATGTGGCAATCAAAAACATAGGGCCTAAGTTTGTTATTACAACTGTAAAGAGAAAAAAATAGCAACAGAAAGTGAAAGTAGAAAACGTCTAGCAATAACATTATATCTAGGTTCATCGCTTAGCGTAACATCAAAGGACAGCCCCACTCCACTCTGTACAGTAACAATAGAACGGAACACGTTTTTTTTTTTTTATCAAACCAACATTTTTATTGTTGCTTTGACATGCAATGTGAAGGTTATCTGTAGACGAAATTCGAAACCTACATTTACCCGACCGTGTCAATTTTAACATTAATGTAGTGTTGGCAAGTTTTTGCAATTCAGTTAGTTTTATGCAATTCGAAGTAAAATTATACCTTGAAATTTAAAGATGTGAATAGCGTCCAGCGTATGTCTGACCATCTTAGGCTTAGAGTAAGCCATGGACGCGACTACGAAGTATGACTCGTACTTTCAAAAAGTGCCTACAATGTTCTACACACACTGAACAGACTAATTCTTATAAACGACGATATTATAATATATCAGAAAATTGTTAAAAACAATATTATTAGCAAAATCACGAGTCAAAATTATTGAAACTTCTGAGAAAATAGTTAATATCAAGGAGTACTCACCATTCAGAGAGCGAGTAAATATCTAAGATTTACCTTCGGTGGTTGGGGTGGGGTTGGGGTGTTTGTGATATGGCATACGATAATACATTTCGAAATTAGTTATAAATGGTTATGCAGCACATGGTATTAGAGCAATGAACGATGTTCTTTCAGCTTTTCGAATTCACATGCAAACAGATGAAAACCAAACCATCCACTTTCGTATACCGCCCCAGTGTCAAGTCAAACATATTCCAAAATGAATTATTGAATTCAGTGTAGACGACTTCGATTATTGGAGCTTTCGTGGTTGGATTGAATTTGGCACAGTATCGATAATATCAATCGTAGTCATATTCAGATTGTAAACCACTATGGTTGTATTCATATGCAGATTGACTGGCGGCCATTTTGTTTAAATGAGTGCGCTTCTAGAGCCATATCTCTGATATGCTTTGACTGATTATGTTCAAATTTTATATATTCATTATACATCATGTTATATATATATATACATGTATTCAAAATGGCTGATTGGGTATTAATTAATGCTGTTCCAGAGCAATATTTCTCAATATGAACAAGATGTCAATCATTTTAATGTTAAAAATCATCATAATCAAGCATCATCTTCTGATATCTTCATGTTCCGACTATATTACTATATACAAAACTATATATCTTAAATTTGATAACTAACGGGGACTGTGCCATGCATGGCTTGTTTTTTTAAACCATTTAGAGAACTGTCTGTGGCCAAATTGTTTGATAGTCTGTTATCTTGTTGCCATGGGAACAAAACATTTGTCATCCATTTTGGCAAGTCGTAATTATCTCATATATTTTGGTAAGATTGAGAAATAGCTGTGTGTATTGGTGGGTTGGGGTGCTTATTTTATTCGAAACATGTAAGGAGGGACCTTAAAAATTCTACATCTGGTTGGGGGGGACACCCGAAATAAATTGCAATAAAAAACCATCTCTTCAGACCCCCCTAAAAATTTCAATGTTAGCAGCCTATGATGGTATTCCTAAGCAGATTGTAAACCTTTGCAGTTGTATTCATATGCAGATTGTAAACCTTTGCAGTTGTATTCATATGCAGATTGTAAACATTTGTAGTTGTATTCATATGCAGATTGTAAACCTTTGTAGTTGTATTCATATGCAGATTGTAAACCTTTGCAGTTGTATTCATATGCAGATTGTAAACCTTTGCAGTTGTATTCATATGCAGACTGTACACCTTTGTAGTTGTATTCATATGCAGACTGTAAACCTTTGCAGTGTATTCATATGCAGATTGTAAACCTTTGTAGTTGTATTCATATGTAGACTGTAAACCTTTGTAGTTGTATTCATATGCAGACTGTACACCTTTGTAGTCGTATTCATATGCAGACTGTAAACCTTTGTAATTGTATTCATATGCAGATTGTAAACCTTAGTAGTTGCATGTATTCATACGCCGATTGTAAAACCTTGTAGCTGTATTCATATGCCGATTGTAAACCTTTGCAGTTGTATTCATATGCAGATTGTAAACCTTTGCAGTTGTATTCATATGCCGATTGTAAACCTTTGCAGTCGTATTCAAATGCAGATTGTAAACCTTTGCAGTTGTATTCATATGCAGATT